ATGACAAGAAATGAAGTTCCTTGCAACACGGTTTTCGCTCTTGTTCCAATTTTTTCTCAAATTCTTGCGCAAACATCCATTTGCGTTACTGGCTAGTGCTCATTTCAGCGTTTTCTCTCTGTTCAGCATGGTATGCGCCTCTTATGGCAGCGGCTTCGAAACCGTTTACCTCAAGAGATAATTTTTCAACTTGAATTTTGATTTACTTCAATACTATTATTGAGCTAAATTTTTCTTATTGATTACTATTAGTAATATTATCGTACTGTAATGTACTTATTAATCATTCATTATTCATTTAATCTATCTGAATAATCAATCTAATTATCATTTAATCTATCTGAATCCTGGGTCGTTCTTACAGCCAAAGTTAGTTAGACCCACTGCTGGATGTAGGCCTTACTAAGACTGTTTTGTACGACTTTTACCCATCCTGACCCACTGAACTTGTTCACACACTTCTTCCTGCCAGGGCTGTTACGTATAAGACGTCCTTATTTGCAGTTTTCCGGTTGTTCTAGCACATGTATATTTTCAATTTCGAATCATGTTTACTCTTGCATGTTCGAATCTTCGTTTGCTCAGTTGTATTATGCTTCCTCTTAATCTTGTTATTAACCAATGCTTTTTCAGCTGACATCATCTCCTGCGTCGAGTTCAATCACGACGGTGAACTGTTGGCTACCGGTGACAAGGGTGGTCGAGTTGTGATTTTCCAAAGGGATCAAAGCGTACGTTGCTAGCAAGTACTTCCCAGTACATAATTTTTGCCTTGCTCAGTGCGCTGTGATGTACGTTTCTCCCCTACATACGTTAAATTTCTGCAGCAGGTTATGCCGCACTCTGATTTTTTGACGAGTACCAAGTGCGTATGCATGACGGTCATCAGGTGAACGACCTTCGGGGTACCAAATCTTGCCTGACGGTCTTATATGTATGTTTATGTATAGTCAGTCTCGGTACTCCTCGTGAGATACCGGAGTAACATAAATTGTAGGCGTCCTGTTTAAAAGAGTTCAAACCTTTCTCTAAGACGGAATTTAGTTAAAATATGAAACCAATCGCCAAAAGTAACAAATGCAATTTTATTATGGCCATTTTTTACGGATAGTAAGATTATTAATTTGTAGCTTTGGTAGATATTTTTTTCTTGCTTCGTACCTTGGTACCCAACTGTATTTAAATTTAGCAGTTGAATGTGTATAATCAGGTGGAGATCTTCTAATAACGAAAATTCATGGTTTCAGCCTCCACAATAAATGCCTTATGTAATATGTGTAATAAACAAGAATTTATTTACTAGCATTGAATTAAATTTATTGTCAGCTCTCTAACGATCTTCCTCAAGAATACATGATACTCGACTAACGGAAAAGTGTGCTAGTTACACTCGGAGAAAAATCAATGACATTGCATGGATAGATGCACTGCTTTGGAAGTAACAAGCGATATGCTACATTCGTTTTCGTTCTCTAAGAATGTGCGCCGAGACGTTGCTCCAATTAGTGATTATGTTTTAAGGCATATGCAGAGAATTGGAGTGTTCTGCATCTTTCTTCACTGTATCTGTACTCTGTTCATAAAATCG